AATGTTTGCCACTARGTCCAAAATTATTAACAAAAAATTAAGGAGCACAGTTTTTCTACAAATTCGAATTATTCAATTTATTTTTCATTGTAGATACCTACCTACCCATAAGTCCTATACATATAAGCTAAAATGATCAGTGAAAAACTACACTACCATGTTATACATTGGTTTTAAATGTTTTGATTAATCATTTATGAAAATCTTTGGGAAACATATTTTGAAATTTTAAACTTCCGTCGACGAAACGGTGGCGGCGAGATGTCCGTCGGCGAAACGGGTGGTGGCGAGTCGGGTGGCGGCGAGAATGCTCGGTGGCAAAAAGGTGGCGGCGAGATGGTGGCGGCGAAACGTTGGTGGCGAGAAGAGCAGGTTCGTTATTATCAGTATCTATAACTGATGACTTTGAGGAAATTAATATTAATGAAAAAACAAAGCAGCTTGACAAACGTACATGATTGGTCGCAATATAGTCCTGCCATGTTGAAGATTCCAATGTCTGCGGCTCTCTGCCAATCTTCACAACCATTCTCCCAGCCACTACCCTACGTATCAAGTCTTCCACCCAGCACCAGCACACCAGTGGAATTGCAGTCCCATGTTGCTGTATCTCAAAAACTTCATCAAAAAAGTACAAGTGATACTAAAAATTTTGTGTCCCGAAKAAGACCAGTATTAACTTCATCAGTATCATAGACTCTTCTAGAAACTAAAATCGMATCACTCAACACAGTAAGTGTCAATGCTAGCAAAGAACATGAATTAGATATGGAAATATTACTACTGAAAAAAAAAAAAAAACAAGAAGAGAATTTAAAACAGGAAGAGATGAAAACCGAATTGCTAAGAATTCAAATAGAAAAATAAACTGGCATACAATGGTTGTTTGCTAACGATCAAACAAAATAAATTTATGTAAGTCTAACTATTCTTATTTAAAGATTATACTATTTGCAGTTTGCAAAAAATAATTAATGCAATAATTGGTTTTTATTAACAAGATATATTGTTTTTGTTTATGTTATTTTAATTATTTTAAATTTTAACCACATGTTGTTTTTTTTTTTTAAATATTGAAGTAAGTATAAAAATTTTTTTTTTTAATTCTGTACACATACAGATATGAAATTGATGTACTGTGAAACCTCTATACAGCGGACAGCCATGGGGAATTAAACAATGTCCACTATTGGAAGGGTCCACTATTGAGAGGTGTCCATTAATAGAGGTTTCACTGTATTACAACATATTAATATTAAAATTTTGAAATATAATCAATTACATGTATTTCAAATATTATTACAAAATACATTTGCTTTGCTTATTATTGATTATTCTTCATCCTGTGTAGCCAATCTGAGTATTAAAAAAAAAAAAAATAGTTAGTATGTAATATTTAGTTGTATTTTTTTGTGCATAATATTAATACATATATATTATAGGTACAAAATGTTCATTTACCTCTGAAAATGACCTACAATTAAAATCTGCCGTTTACGATTTTAGAGTGTTACCCTATGCTGTATGGAATTTGGTACATATTCATTTGGTATGTTATCCTGACTCCGGAGCAAGAATTTCTTCCCAAGAAGCAGGGAGTGTCATTTCAAACCCTATGGAGACTTGATCCCCTGCTCTACAAGCAATGTTATTTAAAACTAATGTCTTGTCTAATACTTGTCAAATATATTATATTTAAACTTCCCTTCTCACTTTTCCAGGCTTAGGACTGGCAGTATTTTTTACTGGCGTGTTTAAAAATTCACATAATAATATATTTGTCAATCACAATTCACTGTACTTACATAAAAAAATTTAAAAAAAATTATTATTATAAAAAATGCACATAATAATATATTTGTCACAATTCACAGACTCACAGTATATAATAAATATAAATACATAATAAACATAACCTTATTCTAATTTTTGAATAATAGGTATTTTTTTTAAGCATTTTTCTAAATCATTATCTAATTCATAGTCTACTAATGTTTTTCTAATTCTTTCGTCTAATTGTATGTACATTTTTTTTCTCCTTTTACCTTCCATATTCAAGTAGCTTCTTTCATATAAAAGCTCCGCATTTTCAGTCTCTTTTTTAAGATAGCTATATAAGTTCATAAACGTTGGTCGCGGTGTATTTAATATTTTATTTAGTTTACTATTCCAACCCTCAACAATATTATTGGTTCTTTGTCTTCTTTTATGACAGTTCCACATTCCCCTTGAAATAATTGGATTTTCCAATCACTGTTCAATAAAATAATCATAAAATAATTTAAGTTTATCATTATCGGGTGTATTACTCATTATAATAATCCAACCTTCATMTATGTCACTAATTGGAATATGAGCTAAAGCAGAACACATTCTAACGTGTAATCGAATATCTGCATTATCTTTATAAGTACTTGCTAATCCAATATTTTGAATTTTTCTCCAAAGTGCTTGATTAAAATGAAAGTTGCAACCGTGTATTTTAGCACTAGGAAATATTTGTGTAATTGACTGAATAGTCGATATTTCAAAGTCTAATGTAAAAGATTCAGGATTAAAATTTGGAATATGTGTTTTAACCATCGAAAATAAACGTGGAAATCGTGCTGATATTAACGAATTTTTCAATAAAAATGGAACAGGCCTGACAATTTTGCGCACTTATTTTAGCGAACGTAAACTTATTTTAGCGAACGTAAACTTATTTTAGCGAACGTAGATTTCGATTGTTGCGCAGGTCTCTTCGTTTCGATGACACCACCACTCGTCAAGAGCGATCTATATCTGACAAACTAGCTCCGATTTGGACTTTTCATTCGGCTTTTGTAGCTAATTGCCAAAGTGCGTACAATGTGGGGGAATGTGTTACTACTGATGAAATGTTAGTTTCTTTTCGTGGCCGCTGCAGCTTTATACAGTACATGCCCCAAAAACCGGCAAAGTATGGCATAAAAATTTATTCAATGTGTGATTCCCAAACATTTTACACATTCAACATGATTATTTATTGCGGGACACAAAAACCTRGGCCCTCAAATAAGCCATTCGATATTGTTAAGACTTTGACCGAACCACTAAAGCGTACGAATCGAAATCTTACCACAGATAATTGGTTTAGTAGTTATCCTTTGGCTGAATATCTGTCATCAGTTGGCTTAACTTTCCTGGGAACTTTGAGAAAGAATAAGTCTGAAATCCCAGATATATTTGTGACAGAAAATAAAAACCTTGTCCCTGGCAGTTATTTATTTGGTTACAATGACACTTCAACTTTGGTCTCATATGTTACAAAAAAGAAGAAAGTTGTTTTGGTTTTGTCGACATTGCATGACGAAAACGAAACGGATGATGAAACTGGAAAGCCAGTCCAAGTCATGGATTATAATGCCACAAAAAGAGGTGTAGACACTGTTGATCTTATGTGTTCAAGGATTTCGACTTCAAGAAGAACAAAAAGGTGGCCAATGATAATTTTCTTCCGATATCTGGATATTGCTGGGATAAACTCCATGCGAATTTATCAGATGAACAACTGCTTGGAAACCTTCGTAAGACGGAAATATATTTTTAATTTGGCCATGGAACTAATGGATGAAAACTTGAGAGAACGAGTAAAAATCTGTTCGCTTCCTAAAGACTTAAGTGTTTTCTTGAATACCTACCGAGATGTCGATAGCAAAAAAACAAGTGAGAATGTTTCAAACAAACGATGCTTTTGTTACATTTGCGGTTTTAAAAAAGAATAACATAACTAGACTAAAATGCATCACTTGTGACAGAAGCATTTGTCAAAAACACTCATCACATACGTGTGATAATTGCCAGAATGACGAAATAGTTGATTCTGATGAAGATTATGTTTGATATTTAAATTTGTTTTATTTTTACATTTACGATGTTTAACTTTATATTATTATTTTTTTTTAAGGTTCGAAGTTTTAATTATTTTATTTTATTTACATTTTTAATGTTTCAATGTTTAATATTTGTTACTAAAGTTAGGTAAAGCTAATATTTATGTTTTTTTTTCAATATTCGAAGTTTTTTTTGTATAATAAATTATATTACTATACTACAATATGTGTACAAGATTTTTTTCATAATATTCATCAACATCTAAAATATTTAAGATGAAACGTTGGACTCAAAATTAAAAAAAAAACTCTGAGACGGTAAATTACCGTCGCGCGCCCGTTGGAGCTATGGAACAGAGCGCGCCCGGATGAAGGTTAAACATCACACTAATAGATGGCGCAATGTGTATTTCTGTAGTCCCAAGCGTGACACTAATTTTCCATTGATAACGACCGTGCCCAGGCCTGTATATATGTCCGTGGATGTAGGTACTCATTAAAAACATGAACTTCCGGGCYCTAGTTATTAGTTATGCACTGTAAGATAGGAAATGCCACTGCAACCAATCCAAAGAAAATGTAAAACAAAAAATAGACTGTGTCTGTTGCCTGTTGTTTAACAATTATTTTCGAATCTTGTAGATTCCAGTTCTTGTTGGTATCGATATTTTATTAAACGATTCCAAAGTTGAACCGAAGTTTTTACAAATTCCTAAAATTCCTAAAATAGAATTCATAAATACTATTTTACCTTCRATAGTTGATGGAATAAATTAAAAAATCAACCCAATTCATCTTTTACTTTTATTCTAACTCATACTACAAATTTAATCGCTCATACCGTTAAGAACGCCTCGGAATGTTTGCATTATATCATTGACAAATTTAATTATTCCGGTACGACGATACGGAATATTTTGGAGATAATTTTACACCGGTATGGACCAACGAATTTATAGATTATGTTTTAAGGTGATTTGTAAAATATAATTGGTATTCTATTCGAAATGCCCACTTAGCAACGTGTTATTATAGACTGTTGAATAAACATCACATTTTAATTAGTTTTTATATACCTAACTATTTAAAACATTTTTATGTTTTTAATATTTTTAACAACTCTAAAAAAATAGTTACACGTTTGTTATGGAAAAAAAATCCAGTGAAAACATTCTCCAGACTATTCAGCATACAGATAAAACTATTTTAAAGATTACCGAATGCATACAAATGATACAGAATTCCGAAAACAAATTAAATTTGGTTCGTTATACTTAAATTAATTTAACGATCAACTATGAAGAGCAGGGGTCTCAAAACTTTTTTATTCAAAGGTCACAAAGAATATGAAATGCTCTTAGCGGGCCAAAAGTTTATTAACACATATAATTTTTATTTTTATGAAATTTTATAAGTATGTTAACTTAAAATATTTTTATAAAATATTGTTTACAATTTACTTAAATATAATTGGTATTAATTTTTGAAATAATTTTTCAATTAATGAGAAGTATGATGTTGATGTTTTTTTGCTAATATTTGATCGAATTGAGGTTGTATGTCACTACTTCCAATTTTCAAAATTGACTCCAAATGTTTGTCAGTCGTGGCTCATCTATGATTTGATTAGATATATTTCAGTTCAGAAAAAGTTTGTTCATAAGTATGTCGAAATAAGCTGTAGCAAATACAGACACATATTTAACTGAAAATTTCTTTAAATTTGGATATAGTGTACCTGGGAGAATTTTATAAAAATCAAGTTTAAAGTCTCTTCGTCATGTTTTATTTTATTAATAATTTTCATATAAAGGGTAGAAGGTACCTTCTCAATATCCCAACCAAACGGATTTTGAAAAAAATTTATTTATTCAAATTGTATGTCAAGGTTATAAAAAAGTTGTTCAAACTGATTTATAGATTTAGAAATTATTTTTTTGAGCATAGCCGACTAGAAATTGTATTTTAGATTCTAAGTTATATTTATCGCAAGTAAAAAAAAAAATAAAATTTTTTTTTGAATTTTGTGTTTCAAATAACATACGTTTTTGCCTAAATGATTTTACTAATGTGTAAATATCGCAAATAAGAACATCTCTGCCTTGTAATTTGAGACTAAAAAGTTAATTTTCAAATTACAAATTCACTATATGTAAGTGTCGGAGCTAGAAAAATTAAATTATTATTATCACCACAGCAGATAGATCGGTACAACCATAAGCGAGCGATAAGACGTCGCTCGGGTGACTTCATCGCATTTTATTTTATATATTTTTATAAGCGCCATTGCTAACCRACAGATCACATCGTTTCGACGTATTAAATTGCTACTAATTATCAATAAAATTAACAATATTTTATACCGAAGCACGGATTTATTATATTATAACCAATTCGGCCCTTACAGTAAGTAAAGGCAATGGTCGATTCTTTTTAATTAGAAATATTTCAATTTCATTTCTTAGCTCAAAAATTCTCGATACGACTTTTCCATGACTAAATCACCGAACTGCTGTAAATACGGTATATCTTGGTACTCTGTTTCTATTTTTTTTTTCAAAAATCTTGTAACTAACGATGCCCAAGTGGCCCGAGCGAACAAAATTTACTGTTGAAATTACTGGATCCATAAGCCATAACACAAGACAAGTCTAAAGTTTTTCCGCATTATGCCTGCTAATAAATAATACAATGCGAAGTCATTGGTTTAAAACCTTGTTTTTCACAACTCATAAATATCTGTCCAATTTAACCTTTTTTGTACCACACATATTTTTTCCACCATCAGTAGTGATACATATCAAATTTTCCCATTTCAAATAATATTCTAAAAATTATTTATCGATTACTTTAAATATGCCGAAACCTGTTGTAGTTCCATGCATGCTATGTGCAAAAAGTAGTTCATTTGAAATTTAAAAATCTGTATTAACACCACAAATGAATAAAAGTAACTGTGACGTATCAGATACATTATTTATTCGTCAAGTTTAATAAACGAAATGAAATCTTGATTTCTCTGATAATTTAATTTTTACAAATATTGTATATTCTACAAGTAACTGTATTAGCAGAATGACTTAAAAATATCAATTTCTTCCAGACAAATTTTTTCGAATATTTGAACTATACATGCTTTTATTATTAGAAAACGCTTTTCCTCTTTTTGTCAATAGATGCGAATTACGAAAACTATCTTTCGTAGTAGCTTCATTAATATTATTTTGTTTTTTAAATAAAAATTGTTGGGGTGAAAAATTATTTTTAAGTGACTGCAATAAAGTTGATTTGTGTTTTGTTTCATAATGTCTCCGAATAATACAGAAATATTTTCTTTGCAAGTTAAACATATTATTGTGTAACCTGAATAAATGACCAAATAATCCAGTCGTTTGGGGACCCCTGATATAGAGTGTAACACCAAAATCAATCAATCAGCTTCAAATTTCTGGTAGTTTTAAATGAGTGACCTYATTATTTTTCCCTTGTAATTTTCAAATTCGCTGGACGCAGAAGTTTTTTATTTTGCTAACATAGAAATCTAAACTAGAATACCATGGTTTGAGATGCTGTTTTCGTATAAAACATAAGAAAGAATCACTAATATGCATTTAAGGGAGAAATGGTGAATCATGCCACTTAAGAGTAAACAATTATATCTAACAAGTTTTAATTCAGAAACTTAAATCAGTGATCATTATACGTTTTTAAACTTATAAGCTACAAAAAATTTATATGTAATTTTTATTGTTTAAAAAAAATACAAATGACCCATATTACTGGTCGTGTTTGAAATATATGCACTGTGTGGACTGGGTAATTCCAGGATGTGATAGCCCGCTTACCGAAAGGCTGTATGTAAACTGCGGAAGAATTAACCTTTTTCTAAAATTCGATATGTAAACTGCGGCAAAAAAAATTTAACATTATACAATCTGTCACAAAACCTATAAGACACATTATACAAACTGCGTCAATTTATTTTATATACCTACCAAAGTTATTATATACTACTCATTTATTCCTAACTATGTGTACCTATATACCTATATTTTTTTTTGCCACAGTTTACACATCAACTTTTAGAAAAAGGTTAATTTTGCCGCAGTTTACCATCTCCCATGGTGTAGTGGTGTGTGAGGTGTGTATATTTTTGGTGCAAAGACTTAAAACTCAAATAAATGGTAACAAAGATCAATATTGTAAGTAGTTTGTGTATAAACCAAATCAAATTATTATTTTTATAAGTAAATAAAATATTTTAAAACTAATAAGTCTTTGTGTATCGTAAATAATATAAAAATATATATTTTTAAATTCCTAATTTTAAATCAACAGTCAAATCTGGTTATCTGTATAATTGAAATTGATCAGTATTGCCTCATCAGTTTTGGTTGGTATTAGTTGACCATGAAAATGTTTAATTCTACTTTATCTTAATAAATAAATTACCAAGAGTTCTATAACTGCAACCTTAAATTACATTAATTTTAGCATAAAATAGGTTAATAACTAACTAAATAAAATGAAATAAATACTTGCCAACAATTTTTTTCCAAGAGCACGATGGCCTAGTTCGGACGCCTATTTGTCAGAATTTCTAGTGGGCACCCGTAGTTTTGCAATCAATGGTCTGTATTATATTTTCAATCTTTTTTTAAAACATGGTATTTCACTTAGGATTTACACACTTGAACAAATAATAATATTATTAATTTATCCGGGTAACTATAAATACATATCTAACCTATATATTTATATAATATTTTCTTAGATGGGCTTCAATTCTGCTTGTCAAAGTTATTGTTCCATTCAAGTATGTGACTATAACAGTGATTTGAGCTGTTACAGTGTTTCTTCTAAAGGCACAAATATGTATAGTATATTTCATTATTTATTGATATGTCATATATCAGTGGTTTTTTTTTAATCATTTTAGAAATACGTTAGTACCTCAATGTTCAGATACATGTCACAACTCTCAAGAAGTTTATCAACTAAAAGAACAACTTCAAAATGCCATCAATGAAAACCAAGAACTTCTTTTTAGATACAAATCTATAGTTTGTTTACAACTTAGCTATATTATTATATTATGTTAAATTTTGTTTGGGTAAGGTCAGGGGCGTACTCAAGTGGGGGGGGGGGGTTGAACCTCCTCCATGACCTCACTAACCTATGTAGTCTTGTGTGTTCGTGCTTATATATAATATAACCAGGGTTGGGCAGTATCTAAAGATACGTATCTTAGTTACATTTGTATCTTGTATCTTGTACCACAGATTATATAAAACCAGATGGTGCACTCCCTATTCGGCCCATGTAATTCTCAAAAATGCGAAAAATCAAAACCTACCTCAAATCAGTGTCACCATGGATAGGGAAAATAGGGCTTTATAAGAAATTATTGTTTATTAACTACGCATCACTGACTTTTTTGACGCTGTTCAGCCGTTGTACCGAATTACTGTTATTGTTTTGCTGGTCATTACTCAACGTACGCGGTACTTCGGGCTTCTTACAGAATCTGATTTTAATCTTCTCTACCTATAGTTTTTTTTATTTATTTATCTTTTTAGTATTTAATTTGTGAAGAACATTATAATAAATGAGGTAACACTCCTGTGCCACATACCAAAATTTGTTTTTAATTTTAAAATAATGTATTTCCTCCTTGTCTTTGTGATGTCACACAGTAAAATATTTTTAAATTGTGTAACAGTCACTATTTCCTGAAGTGTAAATAATAATATCGAAAAAGAGAAAACAAATTTAATATTCTGGAATAATATGCACAAAAAAGTATTTTAAATATTTAAAAAACACTTCTCAAAAAATGTTTGAGAAGTATTTGTGTGCTTAACATGATTATCTGTTAAAAATTCAAAAAAAAAAATACAAGTAGGTTTGATAAACATAAGCCCGAAGATTACAACAAACTAATCCATATATTGAATTAAAGCTACACAAAATGTTAGATGATTTTTGGAATTCCATTAGCATTGAGCCATTGACGCTCAAAGTACACATTTTATGTATTAAATATTATTTGATACAATAATTAAAAATTATGGTAAAAGTTGTTGTACATTAATTTAATTCTCTTATGTGGCCTTACTGATTTGTGGTAGGTTCGTGTTATCAGTAAATCGAAGAAGTGCACCATCTGGTTTTATATAATCTGTGATATAGTTATATGAAATATCGAGTATCTTGTATCGCGATACTTCAAAGCAAAGTATCTCGTATCTAGTATCTCGATACTGCTTTTTTAGTACCTTGCCCTTGGAAATTATTTTTCAGTATTATTTATTATATATTAGGATTTAGGACACTATGTTATTACTAAAATTATTTTTGTTATGTATTTATATAATTTTTAATGTAGAATTATTATTGATAAAATAATTATTATTTAATTGTTCTGTAATTGTATTGTAGTTATTATTCCATCGTTGACGACAACGATATTACTTTATGTCGTAATTGATTTGTTTTATTATTACTGAATAAGTGTCAATTTTTATTATTTTATTTGCCATATTTAACGGAAGTGGTCATGCCCATAATAATAAACATATTTTTTTTTWAAAAACAGTGACTAATTTTATTAAAATGTATCGAGTATTTAGTATCGCGATACTCTAAAGCCAAGTATCTAGTGCCTTGCATCACGATACTTTAAAACAAAGTATCTTGTATTCTAGTATCTCAATACTGCTTTTTGTGTATCTTATCCAACCTGAATATAGCTCACAGGAGCAATTTTCTAAAAAAAAATTTTTATTAAGGAAAAAAATAAACAAAATATATATATTTTAAATTGTATGTCAACATGCAATATACTACGATTGCATGCAATATCTGTTAAGAACTGTAAGATTAGATAGGTAAGTAAGATAAGTAAAAAGTGTCACATTACCGCAGACGAGATTATAAATGAACTAGCTAAAAAACCAAGAACACTTAAATTTGTTCTTTGAATAAAAATGTTTTATTTTTGTAATTTATTTTCTGTAGAGTAGTACATTACCATGGTCATACTTAATAATTTTAAAAAGAAGGGGACACAGTCCCAGTGATAAAAAAACAAAATGTTCAACCCCCWCCCCCCCACCCATTGAAAACTCCCGAGTACGCCTCTGGGTAAGGTAAAATAGATTTGGGATCATAAACACGTTTTATACATTAGGTAATGTTAAGGATATATTAGGTATTGTTTTCATTGTTTTAATATTTTTAATATTTAAAAACTTGAAATTACATGACGATTACACCAATCAAAAAAAAATATATATCTAATACATCTAGAGCAGATATCTTTATTTTAATTACAGTATAACTTTAAAATTTTAGATTGTTTGTTAATTTAACTATTTTTTTTTTTTTGATCTCAACAATCAAAATATGATGAAGTGGTAAAAAACTTACGACATAGCTATTTTGGATAAACTGTAAATTTAAATATAGAAATAGGTACAGTGCATTGTCTTTCTTTTTTTTTTTAAATTATTAACTATATATCATAAAACAAATCGATATCCATTAAATTGTAATAACTAAGAGTTAAACATATACAATAAACCAATTAAATTCTTGGGACTTGATTAAACTAAATAACCAGCTGTATAGCAGGGAATGCATTACATGCTTGAACATTATGACGAAATGCAAAGTACTTTATTTACAAAAGTTAATATATATTTATATTTATAGACCGAACGAAACGACTTATTGGTAAAAGCATTGAATCGTCCGGTAAGTAAAATTGCATGAAACAAACTATCATAATTCCATGTTATTCATATCATTTAATTTATTTTAGGCTGTGTTTAAAAAAATAGAAGGATGCATACAATTTCCTGGAAAGAAAGAAATGGTAACTACTTATAACATTATAGATTAATAATTAAAGGACAATTTAATTATTTTTTTTTTTTTTGTAATTTTTTATATTCTAGGAAGGAAAACTTACAGAATTAAAAGCAGAAATATTGCGTTTGAATTCTGAGATAAAAGATGTACACATAACTCAATTGAAATTAAATTCAGTCAAAGAAATTCTTGACCAATTTAATGCTACTCACTGTCAGGTAGCTACTAGAATATAATATAACAATTGATGAATGTGTATATGTTTATTGTTTAAAATATTCATGTGAATAGTGTGCAAGTCCTTCATTTAAAGACCAGATGAATACAAGTATCAAAGTTCAAAAACAAGAAATTCGACAAATCGAATTGCAATTAAAGTAAATAATACATATGTTGACAATTTAGTTTTATTTGTGTTAAAGCAACATAAGTACCTTATTAGTTATTACTTACGGGCAGACTTTCTTACACCTACTGGAGAGCATCCATATTCTTACTTCTTTATAATATTCTTACTTTTTTTTTATTATTATTATATAAAGCATCAACAAGAAAGGTTTTAGCCTTCATTTAAATAATATTTAGGCCCGGTTTTTCAATTGGCATAATAACTGCCAGTTAGTTAACCATCAGATTAATTTAACTATCGTTTAAAATGCCAGTTAAATAGTGCACAGTTTATCAAATTAAATTTTTGTTCCAGTTAATTAACTGGAGGTTAATCGTAAAATCAAAATATCTTACGAATGGTCATACTGCAAAATGTGTATTATCTTATTTTGCTTTTGCTATTATCAGCGATCGTGTTTTGAAAGTGCCGGTTGTTTTTACATGATACGGTTGTAGTGCTTTAAAAGTTAATTGTTTGACTCTAGTTTTTCTTCTTTCTTTTATATAAAATGAATTGTGTAAGTAAGAGAAAACGTTCTAATAACTTCAGCTTTACCGAAAAAGAACTATTATTAATCTGCCACTATTAAGCTATTTCCCCAGTTTTGAGTAATATGTAAATCATTATTTATTTTTGAATGTGAAAATATTGTAGAGTCATGTGTTGAACCTGGCCAGCGAACAACAATATCCATAATTTTCAATTTAGGAGAAACTACAGTCTGGACATTAAGTGAAAACCATCCTTTTCGGTTACGGAAATATTCTGCATTTGGTCCACCTTGAGTTAAATTTTCAATTTAAATATTCGTTACTAAATTTAAATTAGTAAAAAATTAGACATTTAAACAAAGAATAGCAATATTAACTAGTTATAATAACTAATTGTTTTGTTGTAATTACAAATAACTTTTGGTGGGGACTTCAAACTTTTAATTCTATTATTTTAGATACAGAATTACATTTTCCAAACATTGAAATTAATTTTAAGCAAAAAAGTTTAAAGTTATAAATAATATAATAAATGCAATGTTTTATTATAGACTAGTTGCCAGTGGCATACCAAGGGTAAAATTGTTAAATAATAAACAAAAATTGTTAAACACTATATATTATATATAAATATAGATATACACTTGCATCATGTACTATAAGTACAGCAGATTTACTTACACCAACATCTCTAGCACTAATTAAAAAAGATCCTGTAGCATACAATCTCAGGGCTAATAATAGTTTYTGTGTAGGTTTGTTATGGCATGGTTTCAGTAGGTAGGTACATAAAAAAAAGTCACCGAGCATTTTATTTGGATTAATTTTTGAATAATGTAAATACTACTACCTGTCTGTATTTGATAATATTGTAGGGCCAAAATCATATTTAATATCATCATACCCGTTTCTTTAGATAATCTAAAACGATTTTTAAAATCTAGTTCATCCCAAGTACTAAAATGATCAACACTAATTCGTACAGTATACGGTCTGCGCTGATAATTTAAATATTCTTGAAATTCAACGTCATCATTATAAAAAAATACTTCATTTTCGAAATTCATAGTTAGTAAGTAAGTATATTAGTAAGTATCTGAATTCAAATTATTGAAGAAAAATAGATGTGAAATGTATTAAAATGCACTCGCTAAAATTATTATCACAATAAAATAATCAATGATAATTATTAAATTAACTAAYAGTTAAAAAGTTAATCAGAAGAAATAGTATTGGTTAGTTTAACTATTGGTTAAACCTGATTGTTAGCTAAACTTGAGTTCCAAAAACAGTTTAACTGAGACAAAGTATTAACCAGCAGTTAAATTCTACTAACTGCCAGTAAATCAATTGAAAAACCGGGTCTTAGACGAATCAAAGTTATATACATTTCATTTTAGTACACAAGTAATAATAATAATAATAATATATTTATATTTATCATTAAATAAAAAATATTAAATAAAAATAAGTACAAAAAAGTTTAGATTACACTCATCCAATAAACACTAGAACATTTTTCCTATTTTCAACACTGGCCAAAGTAGAGTAAGTCTTGAATTATGAATAATTTGTACAAAAAAAAAAAAAAATTTTAAAATAAATTTATCATATGAATTGTTTGAAGTTTTCACCATTTCTAAACATTATTCCGGTCATTTAAAAATTTCAGACGAAATTGCCGCTTTATTTGTTTATTCGTTCGTATGTGATTTTTACGTTGTAAATGAGTTTATTGTTCGTTTAATTTTAATTTTGGGACTGATAAAAAATATTCTCGAAATTCCTTCATCAAAAAAATCAAAAGTAACTCAATACCTTAATATAGGTACCTCAATACCTAATGAAATTTTTAAGTGATGTGGCACGAGTTATTTTGTGTAGCTTGTAGACAATCTGTATCTTGTTTGCAACGTTCTTTAATAACTAATAACTCAGCATATAAATACATCAAGATACAAAGACAAATAAGGGAGGAAAATTTAATTTAAACAGAATTTCATCACTTATTCAGCATCATTGAATAGTAAATCGTTTTACGTCATGTTTAACGCATGAATTTCATCGTGTATCTGAAAGCGTTAGAGCACAGTTTTCGCTTGTTGATTCATCAATTGCTATCAAAAAAAAAGTATTCCTTAAAGCTCCCTAGTAGAGTACTAAAACTGAAGAAGATATATCCTAATTTATGCCATTCACCTGAGCCGATAATTACTCGTTGAAGTACGTGGTTTGCAGAAGTTAGATACTATTCAAATAATTTCAAAACAATTAAAGATGTAATTTAAAATATTGATACAGATAATGTAATTTCTATTGCAAAAGCAAATTACCCAAATACTTATATTTATCTACTACTTCAAGTGTGTCACAATCTAGTTTTATGCCTGTCTTAGTTACTTCATTTCGACTATAGACAAGGACTTTAGTTTTTTACTTATTTATTTTTATATTACATTCATCTTAGAATATAATATTCATGAACGTTAGAATATTTTGTAATTCTTCTTTACTCCCCGCTGACGCCGCTATGCCATCCGTGAACCGAAGCATATTCTCGACGTGAATAAAAATTTATTCCTGCATTTATTAATTCCCTTACTCGGTCGACAGCTTCTTGTACATACATGTTGAATAAACGGGATAGGGAACATCCCTGCCTTACGCCTTTCTTAATTTCTGCTGTTTCCTGACTATCTCTATAGCGTATTACTCCTATCTCGTTCTTGTAGAGACTTTTAGTGATCTGAGCTTGCAATTCCTGATTTCTTCAAAATCTAAAATAATTTAATTTAAATATAATTTTCGTTTTTAAATTTGCTTTTCTTGGGATAAGGGATGAGAAATATTTTTTTATTACACCATTGCTTTGAGGCTTTGAGAAGATCCTCTTAATTCATATTAAATTAAATATTTGAAGGAAAATTTTAAGCCCTATTGGAGGAAGACTTTGTATGAGAATTAGTATAAAGGTATAAATAAGTTTATATGGAATATTATCTGATTCGAGACTTTTACTGTTATACCTCTACAGTGCTGTGTGTAGGACTGAGATATCGGATTGCTTGTTAAGTTTGTTAAAATTTAAAACATCTGCCATTTTAACTGCAGACTTATTGATATTTTCTACATTTTCAACTTCAACATAATAATTATCAGAATTATTTTTCATACCTGAATCATGAGGAAATTCAGATCAAATAATATATAAACTCGAGATATTTAAATAAACGTTTCTAGAATAAAGTTGCACAAAATTGTTGTTTTTAAATATTCCAAATTTTGCCTTCAAATCATATTCATTAATCGTGTTTAACCATTGAGTGGTTTTTTTTAAAGGATCTGAAGAGTATTCTTCACTAAAGTGACCAAAGGAAAAAAATATCTACCTTTTTAATTTATCCTTAGCATTAGAATATTGATTATAAATCAAAACAATATTTTTATGAAATGTATTATTTACTTTTCTAATTATTTAATTTCATGTGAAGTACAACTTTCATTATTCGAAAATTCTTCAGCCATTTTCCTTTTTTTTATTCTCGACGTATGTCCATAATGTTTTCATTCAATTTAAATTCATCACAAAAAAATGTTGTTCTGTTTACAAAATATTCTGATGATTGTTTTTCCTTCAAATTCCTTAAAATGAACAATTCATTTCGAGAGCTTTAAAGAGTTACATAATATATTTTCTCTGTATAAGCATCGCTCAGGATATCGGTATCATCGTTGATCTTCTCGAAATAAACCCAAATTGATCCCTCAAAATGGTTATCTTATTCCTAACTTAATTTATCATTTGATCAATAACCTTTTACCAAATATTTATGATATACTTAATTCATTAATACAACTGAATTCGAAATTTGTTATTACTGTTTAAGGATGGAACAATAAATTTAGCTTTGAAAAGTAATTACAACATAATATATGTACAGACATATATATTTTTATCACTACTTGTTGCGGAATTTATTTTCCGCGTTTTCGATGTCATTATTTTTGTATTCATGCATCACACTACTTGTTTTATTTATTGACTAAAATCTCGTTTTTTTTTTAAATACCTATACTCTGTCTCAAATAAGACTAAGTTTAGGCAGTAGGCTTTTACGCTGAGCAGCGCAAATAGGTATATATCGGTAGTATAATGGTAAGTATCCCCGCCTGTCAAGGGAGACCGGAGTTCAATTCCCAACCGGGGAGCCATTTGATGCGGCCACAAATTATGTGGCCGATCTTGAGAGAGAATTAAATGAAAAAATTACGTTTGGTACGGAATTTGAACCCACGACTCACGCGCCGGACTGGTGGTTGGGTAATACTGAGCAWCTGCGTCTCATCATATTGACTTCGATATCCTCCTAGTTGGGCCGGAGTGAAAGTTTGTTCAGTTAAGGAAACTGTAGTAGATGGTTTGCTATCGGCTTGTACTTTAATACTTGCTCGATGCGGACCATGTCATACGCTCGCACCAAACCGAACATATAGACACTACCGGTTCGGCGAGTACCTCGGTCGCCATCTTACCCGAACAAACGTCGTTGGTCAGGTGTGGGGCATTGTGTACGGATGAGGAGAGAAAGCAGACACTGGGGCTGTATCAGACTAACGTGTGTTCAGTTAAGGAAACTGTAGTAGATGGTTTGCTATCGGCTTGTACTTTAATACTTGCTCGATGCGGACCGTGTCATACGCTCGCACCAAACCGAACATATAGACACTACCGGTTCGGCGAGTACCTCGGTCGCCATCTTACCCGAACAAACGTCGTTGGTCAGGTGTGGGGCATTGTGTACGGATGAGGAGAGAAAGCAGACACTGGGGCTGTATCAGACTAACGTGTGCTAAGTGCTGTGCTCTCGAGAACATTATTTTATTATTATAGCAAATCGACTAAGTAAGGTTATCATGACGAAACAATTTTTTGGCAGCAACTGATCGCACGAAATGAAAGCTAACGTAGCTCGTAGAAAGTAAGGAAATTAATCAATGGTATTGGTCTGACCGAACTAAATAAAAATTTACCACCATTCGATTTTACTCATATTTGAGACAGAGTACTTATATAACATAATATATTACTTTAGACAGAAGAATAATGAATTGAATAATATTGAATCTGCTTATGAAGATGTCGTTAAGACAAATAATAAAATTACTGATTCACATAAACAACTAGCTGATGGCATAATAGAATTATTGAAAAAGATAGAAGTATGTCAATGTAGATTTTATATAAAAAAAAAAATTATATTTACTAAAATTAACTTATAGGAGTACAATTTAGAAGGTTTTAAAGATTTATTAAACGATTTGAACAAAAACAACGAAGAGATCGAAACAATGGAATTGATTATCAAAGAGCGTAGTAATGAAATTAATGAATGCGATGAAAAGGTATGATCCTTAATTCATTTTTAACTTAATGTGTAATTARCATGAGTAATAACAGATCAATTTTATAATTTATCTGCTATACATTTTTAGTTGAGACATGTACAACACGAAACCAAAGATATCACTCATAAAACGAAAAAATTGGAAAATGCGATGAAAAATCTTTTTAACGATTTCAATGAATCATATAATAAATTAGAAGTAATATTTAAAAAATATATATATACATATGAAATAATAATGTTAAATATGCTTTACTATTGGTATGGCCTCTATTATATTTCTTCAGCATCTTTGAAAAGACGAATGTCTATCATATAATTACTCAATTTACAGTATTCCGTATTAGTCTATACATCTTTTTATATTATATACTATTAACTGTTGATATTTGTAAAACGGATATCTTTATGTTTTATTTTAGACAGCATGTATAATAAACGTATATTATATTTAGGTAAATAATAAATAATGTATTTATAATGTAATTATATAGTCAGTTTACAAAGAACAGCTGGAGGAATTGTTGGCACTACCTAAAGTTTTAAAAGAAACACATATTAAACTACAAGAAGAGACTGATCTTAGAGTATTAGCAGAAGAATCAATGAATAAACTGGAACGCGATATTAGACAAGTAAAATAATGATAAATTTCTTAAATATATAAACTATTATTATTATCAATAGTATTTTGATAATTGGCGTAGTTACAACTTAATAATAGATGATTTATTATATTATTCTGACTTAAAGTTTAAGAGTTATTATCAATAGTATTTCCGACTACGAGCTACGTTAAGAGCAGATTACACTTAACCATCCACATTACTTAGTTATTTATTGAATTTCCTTAGTAATAAAAGTTCGCTACTGTTGTGGCTACGATTGAATTGGCCCTCAATATTGTGTAAATTTGAAGTCGACCCTTAACTTCTGAAAATTGTATATTTCAATTGGCTCCATAAACTGCAATAGAATATTATTTAACCAGGGATTTTCATATTATACGCATTTACTTTCATGACTTCAACCTAATCCAGCCTTGCAGTTTCCACTCAAATATAGTCTAACACTGGATACCTACATCATAGGCGTGCGCACGAGTAGGGCTGATTGGGCTTTMGCTCCACCTGGCCCTTTTTTTTTCATACGTGGCTAGGTACTTGGTACCTAAAAAAGTAATAAGGTGTTATACGTTTTATAACCGTAGAAAATTGATAAAAAATAAATCAAAATCATAGATAATATTTACACGATTAAAGATATTAATAATTTGTGATAAAAATAATATTGACATTCACGATGTCAAAAAACGAAAAATTTCTAAAAAGGTTGATGATAACTATGATCACCAATATTTTGAGGAAACTAAAAAATATGAAATGAAACATTCTTGTTTTTATTTTGCACTTTACCAGATTATATCTGGATTAAACGTTCGATTCAACCAAGAAAGTCTTAAATTAATCGGATGGTTTGGGAATTTGGTTAATCTCGAGACTACAAATGAAGATATTTTATATTTTTAAACTTTATTTGATATTAATGAAATAAAATTATTAAAAAACATGGATCACACTGAAACATTAAAAGGAACATCACCTAAAGAAGTTTAAATTTGGATAAAATAGCACAACGAGAGAGATCGGTCAACTATTTTTAAAAATGATTTGATTGTTCTTACGTTATTCGTTATCATTCTTGCTACAAGTTATAGCTGTGAACAGGCCTATTCTATACTTACTATTATTAAGACAAAGCTTCGATCCACAATGAACTAAGAACATGATGCWCTTCTATATATGATTATTGAATTAGAAGAAACAGGGAGCATCAACTATGATGAGGTCATTGAAGAATATAAACTTTTGAATGTAGGAAATCGTAGAATTATTTTATTAAGTATAATAATTACATTTTTTCATTTGACTGCATCATTATTGCGTGTTATTTATAAACATAAAAATTATTTAACGAATAATTTATAATAACAAATAAGTTTTTATGTTCATTGACAATTTTAGATTCTGAGCGGAGCGATGAATGTATTGATTTTATCATGATGAGTGTTTTTATTTTTTTATTTTTTTTTTATGTCTGTCATCACGTTTTGGGGCTGTAAAAGTGCTTCGATTTTCGATCAGAAAGTGAATCTAGTTTGTACTTTGGCGGGTCAAAAGTGAAAAATTCTTAATACTTTTCTAAATAATCGAGAAAACCAAACTAAAAATTAAGGGGAAAACGGAAATTTTACGCACAATCATTTTTCGACAAAATCGATTTTAGTTTTTGATGTATTTTTAAAACAAATGACATTTTTCAAAACCTTAATAACACGTAAAAATTATTTTAATTAATATCGATAAAAATTTATTTGTTGGGCAGAAAAGCTTGAAAATTTAATACAAGGCTCCTAAAATATTTTTACAATAGCAGTTGCAACGATAACGATTTTTAACGATAACGAATATTGACAAAAATTCGTCAAAACCATGAATATTTGC